CCTTTGCTCTGTTGATATTCAGTCCCAACCCCAAACACTCCAGCTTCTGTGAGGTTCCAAACCAGATTATCATTTTTTACTTTTGTCACTAGAAGAGGTCCACAGGAGACAGAGGAGACCCCTACTCAAACCTTCCAGGTCCTTGACTCCATCAAAGAAAAGAATCTAAACATGAGGCCAGGGCAGGAGGATCGCAAGTTCAAAGCCAGCCTCAGTGAGACTCTGTCTCTAAATATAATGTAAGGCCTGGGCATGTGGCTCAGTCGTTGAATTCCCCTGGGTTCAACTCAGGAAAGAGGGAGGGTGGGCGGCTCTGAGAGTGAGCCACCTTGCCTTGGCCTGTCCCCAAAATTTCAAGTGTTGGAAACAATCCCCAAAGTCGAACATTAATGGCATTTGAGACCTGGGACCTTTGAGAGGTCATTGAGCCATGAGGCGGAGTCGGGGGTTAATGTGTGAATTTGATTAATGAAGGAGGGCATTGATTCAAGGATTCATGGAGTAACGGGCTACAGTGTGTCTGTTTTAAAAGCTGGCTCTGTGCTGAGGTGTAGCTCAGAGGTGGAGGCTTGCCTATCATGTGTGAGGCCCTAAGTTAGCTCCCCAGGACCACAAAAAAAATAAAAATAAATAAAGGTGAGCTCTCTCAGCCTCTCTTGCTGTTTTTTTCGCCATGAGATGGCCTCTGCCATGTTATGATAGAGGAAGAAAGCCCTGACCAGAATAGAACAGAGGTGGGCTCCATACTGGTCACTTTGCCAGCCTCCAGAACCATGAGCTAAGTAAACCTCCATCTATCTATGGGTACTGAGGTTGAATCCAGGGCACTCTACCATAAGCTACATCCCCAGCCCGTTTTTTTGGTTTTTTTAAATTTTTTTTTAATTTTTTTAGGGACAGTGTCTCACTGAGTTGCTTAGGGCCTCACTAAGTTGCTGAGGCTGGCCTTGAACTTGCAATCCTCCTGAGTCTCTGGGATTATAGGCATGTGCCACCACCACATCCAGCAAGGAAACTCTATTCTCTACAAGTGACCCAGTCTTTGGTATTCAGTTATAGCAACGGAAAACGGAATTAGCCACTGTCTTCCTCTCCACTGCTCCTCCCAGTCTCCCATCTCAGAGCAATGGGGTCAGCCACCCCTCACCAGACCTGACCTTAGGGCTCATCTTGGCCCCACCATCCCCCACAGCCTCCTGTCCCTCCTCCTTTTCCTGCCTGGTCAACTCCTCTGTACCCTAAGACCCCAGTCTCGGTTTCAGCTCACCTTCCTCCTCTCCTGCCTCACCTTTGCCCCCGCCTCTTCTGTGCATTTCCCATGATAAGTACCAGCACATCGAGACCAAGATCCTCTTAAGCTCTCCCCCAGGGCACCCTGGAGGTCCTGGAGGGCAGCCTCGAGCACAGCCCAGACAGACTGGGTTTAAACAGGAGGCAACAGTAAGCTAAGAAGGCGGCGAAACATCACACGACACAGATATAATTTTCTAATGGGGGGCAGGCAGGACAGCTCTTTGACCTCCAAGATCAGCTTCCACGCTGGGAAGAGGGCGCTGGAAAAAGACAGCCTGAGCCCAAGTGTCCTTTATTTAATAGCGGGGACATCAGAGAAGGATAAGGTTTCGAGGGTGGAGTCAGCAGATTGACTGACATCTTGGCAAGTCAGGCCCATCTCAGGTGCTGTGTGGGATCTCAGGCAGAGCTGG